TGGCTTCCGTCCCCGGCAACACACACACACACAGAACATGAAGAAGTCTGTATTGGGCCCAGCAGGGTGGTGCACCCCTGTAATCCCAGTGGCTTGGGAGGCTGAGGCAGGAGGATCGCACGTTCAAAGCCAGCCTCAGCAGCAGAGAGGCGCTAAGCAACTCAGGGAGACCCTGTCTCTAAATAAAATACAAATAGGGCTGGGGGTGTGGCTCAGTGGACCAGTGAGTGCCCCAGGGTTCAGTCCCCGGTAAACCCGCTAATATGGAAGTCTGTATTGGGCTTTAAGGGTGCGTCTGGCTTGCAGGGAGGGTGCCTTCTGTTTGGTTGGGTTCTGCGTCCCTGCGCGCCCGTGGCCTGTCCTCCGTGTGGGTGTCCACCCTGCTGCAGTGGTTGGCACTTCTGAGCTGTTGTGGGCGTCAGGAGGCTTGCTCTGAATTGTTGTCCTGAGCTGTGGACACTTTGCAGAGAAGCAGAGAGAAAGAAAACGCCCTCTCTCCCGACCTCCAGTGGTGTCCCCCCCACCCTTTCCTCTCCAAGTCGGCAAGCCTCCCAGGCCCAGGGGGCGCGTCCGTCACCCGATCTAAGGACCTGCAGCTGCACCGTGGTCTTCCACTTTCTGCTCCTGACCAGGTTGGATAGATTTTGTTCTTTGTAGTGTTTCCCGAGAGTTTTGATAAGAATAACTGAAGTCCAATGCTGGGTTTAACCTGCAGGTCTGTCCCCCAGAACATAAAAAGTGTGGGTGAGTAGGTCCTGGGGCCTTCTGAGGGAGCCCCTGTGTCTCCTGGACAAGAACCGAGCCGGCAAGTTCGTGGGTGACCTGGGCCTTTGGGAGCTCAGGACCTGGAAGGTTAAAAGTGACCCCTGTATAGTCTTAAGCATTATTGAGAACCCAGCCAGCTGTGGTGGCAGATGTAATGCCAGTGGCTTGGGAGGCTAAGGCAGGAGGATCACAAGTTAAGGCCAGCCTTGCAATTTAGTGAGACCCTGTCTCAATTTTTTTTTTAAAAGGCTCTAGGGATGTGGGTAGTAGTTAAGCACCTTGTATTAAATCTATAATATAAAAGAAAAAAATTCTTGAGAACCCAACAGCTTTCTTTTATGTGAACTGCATCTGAATTAGAAGTTAAAATGGAAAAATTTTAGAACGCAAGAATACACAGCACCTATTCCTTTTGGCTAACGGAGAGAGTTATGAGGTCATCACACAACATGCAGCCTCTGGAAAACCCTTCTGGAAAATTCCATCATACATTCCTGAGACAATGAGAGCGAAAAGAGCAGACAACATGTTATTATTATGAGAATGGTTTTTACTGGAGAAAGACTGACTGTGGGGAAAGGTGCATCCTGGAAGGAGTCGCTGAGCTGCACTTTGAGAATGGCTGCCCTGCTACGTTGACTTGGAGCTAAGAAATTCCTGACCACCATATCGACAGAAAATTCCAACTTTATCCAGCAAAAAAAGGTGCACTACTAATAAAGTTGTCATTTTTAAATTTAAAGATTACTTATATTGTTTTAAGCAGTTGGATCCTAACAATAAATAGAATCAACCCAGCAGAAAAAAATTTCTTCCAATTTCAGTGTATTTTTGATGTCAAGAAGCATCAAAGACTAGGGTTATTCATCAAAGACTTTCAAACACACACAAATGCTCTTAGGATGGAATTCTCAGGGAGAAGTACATGACTGGCGAAGAAGCTGAGCAGGATGGTGCATGCTGTGATCCCAGGAGCTCTGGAGGCTGAGGTAGGAGGATCACAAGTTCAAAACCAGCCTCAGCAACATAGTGAGGCCCTAAGCAACTCAGCAAGACCCTGTTTCCAAATAACATATAAAAAAGCGCTGGAGATGTGGCTCAGTGGCTAAGCACCCCTGGATTCAACCCC